TTTTTTGGAAGCACAAGACAAGCTTTATCCGGCTTATTATGACGGCCTCAGCAAATCGAAGGAAGCGGGGATTGGTGTGACAAAGCTGAACCGAACTCTATCCGGTGGTCGGATACCAACAGTTGAGAAAGCCGGCAGCCTACGCGAGCACGGATGTTGAGGGGATAGGGGATATGGGCAACTTCCGCTGAACCCATCTCGGCACGTTCTTTCACTCGAGAAGTCAGAATCCTGTCGGTTCCACAAAAGTAACCGCCTCCACAGTCACACATGAATTCGTATACACAGTGAGAGTTGGCCCAGATAGGCTGAGATTCCTTTGTTGGAGGGACAGGTAAACGGGCTCGATTGAGTACAACGACTTGGGCATCTTAGTAACTACGCCCGCGTAACGAATATTATAAGCTTAGTTGGCATCAGCAGGTAGAAATCATCCCTGAAAGGTAAGTTAATATATCTTCTTGACTGTCATGTGCACCAATTCCTTCGGCTGTTGCAGTTGACGGCGTTACTCGATATATCTTCGAAAGGAAGCATTCGTTACAAGTGTTGTTTCACTCAAAGTAAGCTCATCGGTCAAATAGAAGGCCGAGTAGATTCGTTTGGCTCGAATAAACAAGACTCTTGCGAATGTCCGCTGGTACCGCTGTCTGATTGAATGTGGCCGTGACGATGTTTCATCAAAAAATTGCTATCCCTATTTTCATCAGCACTGTTATTTGGGATAGGTGTTTCGTTATGATCACTGTTTTAATGACGGGTCGCATTGTTGAGAACGCAACGCAGGGCAGACGAATTGTGTGCTGGAGAACCCACACCTAAACACGGTAATGTTTCGAACGTAACAAATCGGATCCATTTGCGCATTTGTTTCGTGGTACCGTTAAGAAACTCTGTTCCGATGTGCATCCTCACACACAACGTATTTGTGGTAGTTGAGTTGTGCACTAAGCATTCTGCATTCGCAGCGATCTATGATTTCTCTTATTTCCACACGCCTGCTAGTTTTTACACATGCTACTCATTAATAGTGCATTGCCGCATGATGCCATGCGAGGAAATACAAAATTATCTAGTTACCAATGATCGAGTAACTTTATCAACAGATGATAAACGCCCAAGTCTCCTCTAAGTAGTGAAATCACAATGTAACATACGCTCACACCATAAGTGGTGTCACGAAAAGGTGAGGAGAGCCGACGGAGTTGACCTATCGAGGAGAGGCAGCAATCGATGGCGAGCCCCGGGTACCATTCGCTACCTGATAAAAGCAAACACAGTTTCTTCTAGTCACCAATGAGTATCGGATTCGGACGAGACTAAGAAGCGACCTCTCCGTAATCCATGCACCGCACAATATGGTTGGATGTATGTGAGCGAGTGTTCCATGAACTGAAGGACGCCAGTGATCAACCATCAAACAAAAGCACGTGGGAGTAAGCAAGTGCCAGAAGCAATCAAAGCATGGGATTTCTAACGATGGATTAGATGGGTGATTGCCCGAGTTCAAGTCAACCGCCCTACCACTCACGTGCGTTACCGAACACATGCAAGGCAATTATTCTTCGTTCGACTCAGTTAAGACACTGACCCGGTCACCAAAGTGCGGTAGATCCAGTTGCCACGACTCAAGAGGACAGAATAACAACAAATAACAATGGTAAGAAAATGAGGCTGAAGGAAAATGGAACAAAGAAAATGGAATCAGGATAGGAGAGCGTAAAACTGATTGAGATGGAATGAAGATGCAAGAAGCCGAATGCGAGGAGCAAATTAATTACGAGACTGTGTCATGTCTGATAGGGTCACCAACGACTGTTATGGATCATACCTGGGCCCTCATCCAAGAAGATGGCAAGCACCAACCAGACCAATTCCCTCAGTTAATCTTTTATGCCTCAATACCATGGTTGGTCTTTGGTAAATCTAGACACACCGGTTGGTAGGTTCGGTCAATTAAAAGTTTGCGTAGTGGTGTGCAACGCAAGGTTCAGTTGTGTGGCAAAATATAGAATGATGTTAATGTCGACGACAATTTATAGAAATGCTGTATTCGTCCCTATTCTTTTCAATTTAAATCCCTCTGCCATAATGTCATCTGCACTCGATGCAGATGAAGATGGTGTTCGACCTTGACATATAATAAATCATCACCATTATACACGTCAGCTGGAGGTGGAAAACACTTCAACTACTGTGCCGCAATACAGTAGGTAATAATCAATGGCACACTGGCTGAGTCACCGGTAACGGATGGACATAATTCCGGAGAGCTAACAGCCGGGTAATGTGCCGCAAAAAGTTACAATATGCCCAGTAAATGAGATCGTGTTTAGAGGGGGAGGGACAAAGAAACTCGTAATACGAACAACACAGGTCGACTCTTCGCCATTTCAAAAAAGGTATCCAGCCAAACGGGTTGATCATCTTTTGGATGCCAACCAGGGAGCCGAGAGGCTTCAAACGAGGACAACTTCAAACTAAGGGACTTCATTCCTCTCGAGCAAGTCATAGCTTGGCTACCGCTCCTCTTCTTCCATCCACACCCGCGGCGCGCAAACAACGCAAGTCGCGGGAGTCGGTGGGATGGCATGCGCAACACCTGACCGAGTCATCGGAGAATATTGCGTAATATAACGGTGCTGAGCGGTTCCCTTCTTCCTATGCCATAAAAAGGCGTCGAACACGCTCATTGCTTGCATGATGTTCCCACCAGATATGAGCCAAAGCGTGAAGGCGCCGGTGGTCAAACGTAACTAGCCCCTTTACGTCTACCGATATAAGGGGCCAGGGTTCACAAACGCACAGTAGGGTCGAAGGTACCGCTGAATCGTACACTACCCTTCAGGGAGAGAGTGATGTCGCGCAGCCGCCACAGGTGGCAAAGGTTAGCAAAAGCGACCCGAGTTTTGCTATATGGTGTGACCTCGTCTTCAATTCTAACAACGCTGATACAACTGTCGAGGTAGTTGAACTTTTGAACGACTTCTATCTGATACCCACCAAGGGTCAGCGTGGGAGGCGGTTTATGCCACTCCTGGAGGAAACTTTCGCGCATCAAGGGAGCAAAGCATAGCCCGAAAAGACCGACAGTGCTAACCTGTCAAATGCTGTTCGGCAGGCTTGTGAGCTGTCACAGATAAGAACAATGTTGTCAGCATACTCCAAGGCAAGAAGCCGTTCACCTGGAAGCAGCTCTACACTTTCTGTCGTGCTCTGTGAACGTGATCTCCATGATTTCATCAATGGCGAAGTTGAAGAGGAAAGGTGACAGCGGACATCTTTGTCTCACACCGCTGGAGATATTGAAGGGCGACGACATCTGGCCGTAAGCCCTCACTCTGCCTGAGCTAGGCGCGTATAATGCTCGGATAATATACACATATTTCTCGGGCACACCATTCCTCAGCAGATGGTACAAAATGGCACGTCTATCCACCGAATCGAATGCACCTTTCATATCGAGGAACACGACTACGGCGGGCCGCCAATATATGTGACGGTGCTCCAACAACTGACGCAAAGTGAAGATGTGGCCGATGCGGCCACGACCTCGACGAAACCCGACCTGCTCTTCACAAATCTGGCTTTCACGAGTGCCAGTCAATCTGGGAAGGATGATAGAGGCAAACAATTTTGGAGCGATTGAGATCAGACTGATTCCTCTATGGTTGCCGCATTCCGATCGTGAGCCCCCCTTGAAAATTGGGACTATGACGGAGCGGCACCAGTCGGTTGGGACAGTTTCCTGCTCCCACAATTTCACTAGTAACTCGGGTAAATCATCCACCAGAGCAGGTCCGCCGAATTTGAAGAGGGCTGGAAGAAGATCATCTAGTCCGGCGGCTTTATTCAACTTCAGCAGACCGATCTCACGTTCGACTTCTAAGTGAGAAGGCGGATCCAGAGGTCATCCCAGGGAGCAGGGTGATCATATCCTAAGGGTGCCGATGTGATTGCAAGTGCTAGGGTCCCTTTGTAAACAAAGGTCCTAATGGCCATTCTATATTACAATGGACGAGTAAAGCCGCACGCAGAAGTCCTTTTCGATTGGGCCCGCTTGCGAACCATGATGAGAACGCGAAATCTCGGAGGGGCAAGCAACCGTAACTCAGGTCGACGGAAATTAGAGAAAGTGAGAAGAAGGCAATGCGTGGCAGACGAACTCTGGAAGACAAGGAGTGAAAAGGAGTGCAAGGATATCGAAACCCCATCGATGTCCAGTCTCCGTACGCGACACAGTAACGTGATGCATGGAGTGGATTAGCTTTATTACGCTTTGTCTGCCCACAGGAACCTCATTCAACCATTGGTGATTGAGAAAACCGGCCGAGTTTGGTGGTGGTGCGTAAGCATGCGGATATGGCCAAACCGTCAAATTGGACATTAGCTTATGTGGTCCAGCCGATAAACATCAAGATGCGAGGGATGTCTTGTGGGCACCAGCATTTAAATATTGATAACCCATCGGTACCTTGGGTGCATGGATGCGTGTGCGGTAACAAGGTTGACAATGTAACGTTCTAGACGCAAAATTTTCAACAACAGTTCCGTACATGTGAAGGATTCTGGGAGTCGAACAAACCGAAGCCGAATCCAATCACCCTCACAAAACAAGTAGCCACTTTCGACTACAGCTGAAAAGGTGCTAAGCAGGTGTATTTTCGCGAGGCGCTGGAGCCCAGTAGTGAATCACTATCTATTGGCCTCGGCCACTACATCAGAGCTCAAGGACCAAACACTGAAGAATAAACAATTGTAGGCTGATTTCTCATGCTGAGGAAGAAGAAGCAAAAGATATCGACGGAAAGTGGGGTGTGACTGCGTCTGAGTGCGGAAGTGAAGGACCAAGAAAATCGGCGCAAAATAATCATCGGAAAAAGTGAGCAAAGGGCCACTACAATGTAGAAAAACTGTGAAAGCACACCTAAGTTTCACTACTATGTGTTCCCCTCACAAGTACGAAAGCATCATCTGTGCGATGAACAACAGAAACATACCGGATGTATGACTGAACTGATGCCACAAGCGAAAAAAGCATACTCCTTGTCAAGTTCAATTTCTTTATGTCTGCAGGCAGTGGGACAAAGGAAATAGGGTTAAGGTAGAGTGGACAACTACAAGACAGTCTGAAAGAACAGCTGATGGCAAATGACGGCTAAGAATAACAAGAGCCAATAGGAGTGGAACTGCGGTCAGAGTCTTTAGATGAAAGACAACTTGGTCGGATTACCGAAAGCGGGGTAAAAAAAAGAGTTATGCTTTCAATGAGGAATGTCAAACCATGATAGATGATCGGTTATCTAGAAGCAAAACGTTCATCGAAGATTGTTGCAGCACATGACCTCATTAAGAGAAATTTTATGATGGTTTGTTTGCACAAGTCAAATTGCAAGGGACCACGGTACATTTAATACGGCTGGCGATCATCGCAGTGTATGAAAACTCAACGCTAGCTGGTCTGTAACTTGGTCGACTGCGTCGAGTATCATCGGGTAGATTCACTTGCAAGAGTCAGTAAACAAAGAAAAGCATGACCAAGTTAACCAAGCGGCTCGCGGGTTAAAGGAATGCAATTAAAGTCGAGGTATATGCCGAGAAAAGGAGTCCTTTTCCATTGTCTGTTCCTATATTCCCGCTATCAACCGCACCGAGTTTCTTCTGATCGTTCTCTAGTTGATGCGCCATCTAAGAGGAAACGTCACACAGCACAAGCCATCCTAGGAGTCCCAACGCAGATAATGCCACCACTACTCACTACAGTTTCTGATGCTGTAAAAGCGGCGCAGATTCTAAAAGCTTGGATTAAGTGCCAATTGGAACCCAAACAGTAGTATCGATACCGAGGTGAAGTATTGCCAATAGTTTACATTCCGTAGGTGAATGCGGGAAGATGAATCAACAAAGCAATGCTGCATGCCTAGTTCGGGTGACAGCTGTAGGTGACTCAATTCGCTGCAGCTTCAATGCCACTGGAGAGATACTATATAGTTGTGTTGACTGCTACCACAAACAAAGCGAACAATATCGATACGTAGGTAAATAGCTTCAGATGTTCGGAGTTCCAGAGAGATGACACCGATTGACCTGAACACAGAAGCGCAGACAACAATCAACAATTTACAGACCTGTGAATCACCCGATAGGCTGCGACTTTGGATCATTGTTTGGTTTGGAACGGCTGCACCGCCGAAGCTGCCAGGTAGCGCAGTCATCGCAAAAGGTAATCTATTTCAAAACACGAGTCAGCGAACAAGCTCGTTTTCGGTGTATCTCATCAGGCTTGTACACCACAACGGATACGAAAAAAATGAGTTAAATCATCAGACAAGAGAACAGTTCAAAGGTCTTGGTCATGTAAATGACAAGGTCAGGTAGTTGGTACAGAAACGGTCAAGGATATGTCAGTGGCATGCTGCCAACAGGAGTCACTGTGATATGGGGCCGCATCCATCATTCATTCATTTTATACGTTAGCTAACGATGGAAAACACCTCAGCTACTGTGCCGCAATAGATAAACAAAGGAAAAAATGTAATAGATGCAAGCCAGCTGAGCTAGCAGTAACGGATGGGCATCGTTCCGAAAAGCTACCAGCCAGCTACTATGCAGCAAAAAAAATTAATATGCAAGGCAAGTAGTGAGATCGTGGTTGGAGGACGAAGCTAAGACGGATGGGGTGGGACAAAGAAACTCACAGCACGAACGCCACTGAGGTCTGCTCCTAGCCATATCAGCAAATGTATCCAGGCAAACGTGTTCAGCGTATTTCGGTCCTCCACCAGGGAGCCGATACGCTCCAACCGAAGCCAGCTTCGAAGTGAGGGTCTTCATTCCTCTCGACCAAATCATCGATTGGCCGCCTTTCCTCTTCTTCCATACACACCCGCGGCGCACAAACAGCGCACGCCGCGGGAGCCGGTGGGCTGGAATGCGCAACACCTGACCGAACCATCGGAGCCTAGTGCTTGAAATAACGGTGCTGAGCGGTTCATTTCCTTTCCCTGTGCCGTAAACAAGGCGTCGAACATGCTCGTTGCTCATGCGGTGCCCCCACCAGACATAGGCCAAACTGTGAAGGCAACGGTGGTTGAACCTAACGAGACTCTTTATGTCAGCTGATCTAAGGGGCCAGGTTTCACAACTGTACAGTAGGATCAAACGTACTGTTGCATTGTAAACACGAGCCTTCAGGGCAATAGTGATGTCGCGCAGGCGCCATAGGTGGCGAAGGTTAGTAGAAGCGCCCCGAGCTTTTTCTATTTGGTTCGTGATCGTATTTTCGATGCCAAGGGCGTTGATAAAACTGCCGAGGTAGTTGCACTTTTGAACGACTTCTAGTTGATCCGCACCAGGGGACAGCGTGGGAGGCGGTCCATGCCAATCTTGGAGGAAAGCTTTGTATTTCAAGGGTGCAAAGCAAAGCACAAGTCGACTGACATCCAGTGCAGAGTTCCATGGGCTCAAACTACTTGGAGGAACAGCTAAACAATGCTGGAGCGGATAACCCCTTCCGCAGCTTAATAAAGGAATCTACTACAGCTTCTGGAGACTCGTAGAGGATTCCAGGCATCATACGCTTGACATATAGGAAAACAAAAATGTCACAAAAAGCCATGTCTGGAGTGTAGAGTGGGTGACCAATCTCCTGGATGCACCCTCTAGCCAGACAAACGACGACACGGGACTTGTGTGCATACGCGTTGTCATGATGCAACAAGGTCCGTCGTACTCGAGTCCTTAGACGACGCCTGGCTACAGCTTCCAGCGCTTATGGCATACCAGTCTGCGGGGACTGCGCGTTACCATACGAGCAGTACAGTAGCTACATTACCGGTCTTGGTTACGAACAGATCCAGTTTTTGCTTGGCGACACTGCGCTCCCGCCGGAATATCTACGGCGGCGCCACACCAACGGCCGTCCACTGATCCGAGTATTGCTTGGTCACTGGGTAGAAACCCCGGTCTTACCACCACTGAAGATCTGCCAAACGGCATTGGAACGTCCACCAACAAACTTAGCAATTCACACGAACTGCTTTCTGGTCCTCACTGAGTTAATGGGGTACCCAGCGTGCGCAAACCTTTCTGAGCCAGAGGTTCTCATGTAGGATGTTACGGATTGATCCCGATGAGATTCTGATGGATTGCTCTAGCTGTACCACAATCCCCTGCGCGTCCTCTTCCAGCATCGCTTACACAGCAGCGGTGGTGGACTCCACAGATCGATCACACCGTGCCTCATCATCCAGGGACCGCCCGTCACGCTTGAATTCCGTAAAACACGCAAAGACGGTGGTTCTTGAAGGCGCATCATCACCAAACGCCGTACGCAATCGCTCAACACTGGCGTTGCTTTAAACCACACTGACAGTCATAGAAAATCACCGTCCTCCACTAACATCGACTGAGTTCCATACTTACAGTCAGACCGTATGGGACCCTTATAAGTTGTGAGCTGTGCTGAGCTGCTGATATAGGGTGCTGTGAGATTGGATTACAGTTCACATTTTTCTTGCCAGATTATCTGCACCTAATAGGTGTACCGTGTATCCGGGAACTTATTGCTCTGTCCTCGTATAACCTCCCAGTGGACTTGTCGTGTTTTGCAGAAGAGTCGTTGCAGCTAGATTCAGTTAGACGGCAACCGCACATCCAATTAAGCTCTAGACGGCCGTTACGTCCTAATGAGACTCGTCAGTAGCGCGCACCCCCCGAATCCTGCCGGATCAGAACCCATGACCTTACGTTTAAAAGTTAGAGCCATGGCTTAGTGTGCGCTACTCACGATACCCAATAGGACGTAACGGCTGTCTAGCGCTCTCCTATACGTTTGGTAGCTGTCTGGATGAGTATAGCTGCGATAAAACTTCTCCAAAACATGATTCCTTAATCCAAACAAAACCTTCTCATAGCACCAAATAAGCTTACCCGCCCCTCTTGAACAAAGTGGTGCGAAGTTACGTCTAGTGCGGAACAATGTAAAAAACTCAGTGTCGAAAATGACAACCGATCAGCGGTCTCTAGACACTGGCGCTTTCGAAGCAGTACAAATATCTGGTAACATGAGCCAGGAGTGAATAGAGCCGAGCCCCTCACGATGGAAGATTTTGGCTTCCATGCTTCGGTGACTAGTGACGTGGTTTTCAACCATTTATCCCAGATATCTCTAGGGTGTAGTCAGTCATGAATGTCCAACTAGCATTTTAAAAACACACAACAAAAGGCTACGATCAAAGAATTGTACAGTTTGATCTCATTCGCTACAACGAACACCCCGATGTAAAGCCCGAAAAAATGCAACGTATTTCTCATTATCAGGTTCTGTCCGCCTCGTCCCAAGAACCCAACGTTCTTCATGTGAAGCCAAACATGAAGATTTATGGCCTTGGGAGAACACATGGTGCCTTCACATAAACAATCCTGACGCGAAAAATGGGACAGCGTAAGAAGCTCTGAGCAATTAATATGTACAGTTGGTTTGTGAAAACAAGTTATCACACCGACTGGAACTAGCGAAACGATACAGTTCGAACCACAAGTTGCTTTACAGACACGTGAATGCACTTCGAATGTTGCAGCGTGGAATCGCACCACTCAGTACGTTTGGTGAGTATACATATACAACAAAATAGGCGGACAACCCCTCATTGCCCAGTACTGGCCTACTTTCCAAGGGGTACTAGTCTCAAACATTACACTTGCTTCTGTCCCCACACCATCAGTGTTATTCGGCATCAAATTCATAGCAAAAATGGTTCTGAAAAAGCTACTATCCTTGCATACACACAGCTAACCTGGAGTGGATAACTTTCACCTTAAAACACTGCAGGCAGTAGCCATTCACCTAGCCCAGCCACTTGCCGGATTCTTTCACAGAAGTCCGTCTGATCCTACCAATTATCGTCCGGTAACACTTCTCCCTGCACTTGCCAAAGTCATGGAAGCGATCATCGCTGACGTAATGATGGGCTAACTGGAAAGCGTCGGCGATGCAGTATTAGGATGGGTTAGTAACTTTCTCCGTGAACAACAGTTAGAGCTTAGAGTCCGAACATCTCTACCCGACCCTAATCGAGGGGAGTGCGACGATCTTGCGAGAGCCATCACCTCAAAAAGTTTACTTTTCGCGGATGACGTTAAAAGTTGGCCAGCGATCAAGGGAATGGACGACCACAAGATCCTTCATGTGCGACCTAGATGGGACCTGCCATTGACTGGTGAGGAATTCACTGCTATTCAGTGGTCAAGTGACACACTGTCTACATCCGCCATAGACACGCCTATCACTACAAAATTGGGGTACAGGACCTGCAAACAAGGTCTCAGGAACTTGACCTCGGTGTGCTGATGCAGGACGACTTCGGTTATTCCAGACAGTTGGAATCCGTTTCAAAAGTGGTAACCAGCACGTAGTTAGCTTGCGGATGGCATTCGAAGGTTTGGATTCATTCATCTTCCCTATGATGCTCAATGCGTACGTGCGTTCCCACGTCGAATATGCAATCCAGGCTTGGTACGCTTGGCTAAAGCATGACCATGCAGCGCTCGAAACTCACCATGGTCGAGCAACAAAATGTGTCAGGAGATTTTGCAACCTGTTGTACCAGTAGCGACTAAAAACACTCGGAGTGTTCAGTAGACGCTACAAGTGGCTACATGGAGCCCACATATTAACCTACCAGATACCGAACGACCCCACTTACACATGTCGCCACCTACTGCAACTCATCCCGAACACAAACTTCACAGGCAATAGCCTGAAACTGAGACAACAACACAGTCGGCTTTTCATTAAAGTTGGACGAACAGCTCATAAGGACTCAGTGATTCCACCATAAGTAGCCACCGAAGGTTTCGGTGCCTACGCTGTTTATATGCTCAACGACAGCCTAGACGTTAAGAATTCTATCCAACCGGACGCAAGATTAGCCCCATTTGCCAGCGGACCAGTTTAGTCGTTAACACATTTGTGAAAGAGGATAAGTATATTAAGAGAAATGTATTAGAACGATCATCTATGCTAGTGAAGGAGATGTTCAAAATGTTCGCCAGCGTACTGCTTGCAGTGCAGAAACCGCTTGATGCAGTTGGCGGGCACTTTATGCAATGTATCCCTCGTGATCGTGCAACATTCGTTCACATTATTTTCTTTCAATTGCTCCAATGTACGCGGCCTTGTTTTGTACACTCGCCGCTTCAGATAGCCCCAGAGAAAAAAGTCCATAGGGTTCAAATCTGATGAGTGAGCAGGCCATTCCATTGGTCCACCGCGTCCGATCCAATGGTGACCAAATTTGTCGGTGAGATAGGCACGCACCGTTTTAGCAAAATGTGCAGGTGCACCATTCTGTTGCCACTAAATGGGATTGCATGCCCCTTCGGCCTCCAGCTGTGGAAGCACAAATGTCGGCAGCATTTACAAGCATGACGATGCTAGGAAAAGACAAGGCTTCAGTGCTTCAAAACAACAACCTACTGGTCACATTCCCGGAAAAGAAATATAGGCCCAAGATTTTCTGGCTTGTTAATCCAGCCCAAACCATAAGTTTCACACGGTGGTGCATACGTGATGCGGTAAATTTTTGTGGGTTGCTGGTAATGTTTCATTGTTCCATGCAGATGAAACAATGCCTCATCTGTAAAGATAACAGAACAAATATCCCCGTGATCCAGAAACCAGCGGCAAAATTCATGCCGTTTCTCCGGATCGCATGGGTTCAAAACCTGCACTTGAAGTGCACGGAATCTTCGAAATTTTCGTTATTGTAATGTCCGGTGTACCGCATATCGGGTCGTGTCAGTGCTGTGTGATCCGACGAATGCTGAGATCGGGACTTTTGACACTTCAATGATTACAACGCAAGCTGAACAGTCGTCCGTGATGATGGGAGGCGGTCCGGTTCTCTTCATGTCACACACTCCCAGTTTGCTCGAACTTCTTCACTAGTTTAAGCAAGTACCGGGCGGTGACGGGACGCATTGCTGCGTTCATTGCCTTGTATCTTGGTGAAGTTGGTGCGGCGTTTAAACCGTATTCACTGTACAGCCGAATAATCAGCGCGCGCTGAGTAACAGGCACTTTACGTGATCCAGAGTGCATTGTCTGCTCGTGCTCCATTACCTGTGGTAGTGATTTAATGATACTGACATTACTTGCGATGCCTAATCTTGTCCTCAGTTAATCCAACACCCAGTTTGCTGAGCTGCCATTACGTGCGCACAGTCGCGCCGCAGTTTGCGTTGCGCGTTTTATGTCGCTCACACCGACTTCACTGCGTAGCCAGCGAGACACAGATAACCATCGATCACTCCAACGCCTACGGTTGGCCATGACCTTCAGCACTCAGCGTGAAGTTAGCTGACAGCTAACGAAAGCCGGAAACAGGTTGTGGCTATCTGTACTCAGCTCGCTCGATGACCAAAATAGCCTCATGTCGGTGCGTCCTCGCTAGGTTACGCTTGCAGTCAGCTGAGCACTGCACTAAATCACTTGTCTGCCGAGAATTCCATACGTCCTCACCACTAAGGTGAGAGAGAGAGAGAAACGCATGTCTCTGCATGCGCAGTAGCGTTTTTGCGGATTTCGCTAAACATTGGATGGCTATTGGATGGTGGGGACAACAACCGTAAATGACCGGCGTCCACCATAAGCGAGCCACGGTAGGTAAATGAACGCGGTCATCGGCCTTCTGTCGTCAGACTAACTGTACATGACACATCGTTGTATGTGACACTCCAAGGCGGTCAGTCGATGAAGCAACAAAGACTGAACTAGATTGATGTTCGTTGTCCTCTTGATCAGGGTACTCGGGATAAGCTATAATCGAGGATTAAAAGTTTGTCCGACATAGCTCAGGTGCACAGTCTCTTGTATCTTACCATCAACTTTTTACGCATAGCTCTTCTATTTTCAACTAAAATCTTTCCCGTCGGCTCCCCTCTTTCAAGTCATATTTGCGTTTTCTCCCAGTTACTGCCGGTATTTCTGCGATAGCTGTGAAGGCAGATGAGCCCGCTACACTTCGGTGTCCGGATAATGGTTCAGTAGCTGAGAAGGGACAATGTGGGGGGTAGGGATCCACACATATGTGGTATCTTCATCTAAAAGTCAGCAGTGGATTGCAGTATCATGACGCGACCTGTAGATACTGATAGGAGTAAAGAAATAATTGTATATCAGACTATGCCATTAACACTTTCACTAGAAGAGCAGTAATAGACTCGTTGTTCATGCGTCAGAAGTACATAGTGCTACTGCGATTGTCGTGCGAACCGTCAGGTCTCGTCGACGTGATTCGGCAAAGCATGGATGGTTCACGAGATGTGATCGTGTGCCAGGAATTTAGCACAGACTGATATGCTAGGTTCGGTTACAAGCAGTGAAAATTCTTTTGAGGGAATGCAGCTCCCATCTACTACGTCATTTAATGAGTCTGGAGGAGGCTGCTAACTATGGCCAAATTAAAGGAGTGGGCCACGATGCAACTACGGGCATGTGGATATCTGGCGTGCAAGATTCTCTCTCTGAGCTCAACCGACATCGACACAACGCGAGTATGTACACACTCAATGCGCCTGTGTGATATACGTTGTATTCGCAGTCTTTAGACGTTGTCCAGACACCGGAATCCTGTTGCGACAAATCCTCGACGCAAGTAGGTGAAGATCGAAGCAGAGAAGACCAAGCTTAAAACATCGTGGTTACAACCATCGTGTCTTCCGAACATTCTCCTAGTGAATTACACGAGATAAGGACAACGTTTACTGGCCGATTTGGTAGAACACGGTTCCATTGCGTGTTTCGGTCAAGTACGGTACCTGTAAGTGATGCCGTGCCGACCACCCACCATTCCCTTGCAGTCGCACGCGTGCTGCGGATGTACCAGAGTCGCCACCTCTGCAATACAGTATGAATTCAGTACACAATAACAATTTAGTCAAGGCTTCAAAAGGTGAAAGGGGGAGAAGAGAAAAACAAGGTAGATCATGTCAACAAAACCCCGAAACAGATTTGTCCTTGGTAATTCCCAACAAAGCATTCAATCGAAGGGGTTTGTGGACACCAAGGTCTAGGCTACAAGAGAGCAGACGCTGCATAACAGTCCGTCCTGAAGATGCAAGCGAACTGCTTACGATAACGCTTCTATTCCCAGTCTAGATCAGTATACATTATGCCTAAGAATTAGCTAAATCCAGTGCAGAGCACATGTGTAGACTAGGCGAAGAACACGAACAGCAAGTACAGGGGCTCTTACAGCACGCGCCCAAGACACAAAAGTTTGGAAATAACAAGTAAGCTGCGGATAGGACTCGATAATAAAAGGACTCGATACTCCGGAGAAATAAAACGCAATATTATAGCTGTCCGTCTGGCATAAAAAGTTTGCTACAGAGGCGAAGTAACAGAACAAAATGACACGGGACGTCGGGCTCACCTAGCTCGCATCTCCTTCAAAGCAGCAGGTCCGAGAGTACCATGAATTGCGCTAACGTTCACTCCGGCTTTTTCGAACACGGCCCCATTTTCCATCACGCAGGTGACGCCGCCACCGCCCTGAAACGACACAAAAGTAGTATACAGAGGGGATAACAGTGGTAACAATTGTACTGACGGTAGCCGACACGAATGAAGGCGGGCGCCAGAATGGCATTCTACTACGTCCGCGCAGTGGGTACAGACAAAGAGGCTGTCAAGTTGGCTACGGTCATGTAAACAATGACGCAGGGGAAGCGGATGGGCGGGGTGCACGAGACTTTTAGCCTGATGCCGCGCGGCACGACACTATGCCGTTGGTGCGGTGCGAAGGAAGCAAGTACGTGCACGTATGCAAGGCCGAAATCATGGCAGCGGTAATGAACCTAATGCGGTTAGATGTACTAGTAAGCAGCCTATACTAATGCCATCAACAACTTCTCATAGGTGGCCTCCAATGGCTCCGTGAGTCATCACGCGTTGGCAAACGATCAAACACTAAGAACCTTGATCGGATTCAGTCCAAGAAATAAAAGTAGGATACAACTGGACAAAAGGTTCATCACAGCCAGACGCAAACAGACACCATACACCAGGAAGAGCACTAGACGCCCGTTTCCTTCTACTCGTAGTCCACAATGTCACAAATCGTGAGTGAATAGATTCCGCCCAATACAGTCAAATGGGCCGAAGTATAATCAATATGCGAGCCCACTCTTCATGGTCGTCATCCTACGCATTAGCTGAAGACGAAAAACACCCCAGATATTGTGTCCGCCCACAGAGATTTCAGAGCAAGTGCCAAGTTGGTAACCTCGGTAGAAACTCGGACAAAGCCAGCTCGATAATTGGTCAACAGTCATATGATGAGAGCGTTTTCGCTTTGGAGTCAGCTAATTGCAGCGACTTCGACTTGGAGCCAGCCAACGAGAGACATTTTATTGGTCTCTGATAGTTAATGGTAGCATAAAACCTTTATGTAGGCCATTTTGGACTATATAAGCACCTATTTAGCTGCTAAAAACACTGCATTTTTCGGGCTCAATTGAAGGTTTTGTCGGGGCTTGATTTTTGAATTTCGTGACTGGTTGAATCGAGATTCGAGAGAGCCGTATCGGTTATACAAGCTGTCAGCAAAAACATAACAACTATAATGCGCTTCCTTCCCAAGCCGTTGGCCAGATGGAGACAAGATCTATGTTGTGAATGGTGTGTTGCGAAATAACCTTCGCTCAGTGAAGCAAATGGGCCATTGTTTTCTCACACTTGGTTTCTGCTTCACCAACATGGAATCCCACATAGCCCACGGCAAAACGCAACGCACGACAAAGGATAACGAACGAATAATATGCCTGTGGGCTTGCAGGTCACAGCGGTCGTCTTGGTGCAAGGGAACATACCGAACGTGATAAAAGGCATCAGCAGTACGCCGGTATGCAGTACTGACGCTTCGCTGCCGCGCAACCACCACCGGTCGCATGTGGGCCAAGGATACTGCGAGGGTCGCCATGCCCCTACGCAGGCTCGAACGGGCGCCGCAAGATTGTGAGACAAACTCGTTACCTCTAGGCTACGGGCCGGCAGTCCAGTACAAATTAATGCAAATAAAAAACAAACACTGGTTTCATATTTTGTGCACATGCATTCCACGGATCCCGCATGCTTTGAATGCCCAAATGCAGCTTCTTTGCATGATCCGAAGTGATTGTGTTAGGAAGGAATACAGGAGTCGAACAAGCCAGGACCCCATCGCATCGGCCGGCTATCCAAACTCATCCGCACTGATTGGGGAGAACAGAGAGCCAACCAGGAGAAGCGGCCAATGAACGCTAGGTTGAAGTTCCTTTATTGGCTGTAAGTTAACCTTTCCAGAGCTTTCCACGGTCGCTTTAAATATACTATTCACGAACTTTCCATTTTACCTTTATAATGAACGGTGTGATTTGCTAATTCATTCCTGTTGCTCTGCTCGTCCGATTCGCCTTCTCTCTGTCCTGTGGGGTGCCAGCGACTTCGGGTTTGATTGGCAATCAAGCGTCCATTCAGGCGAGGGACCAACACTTCAACTGGCGACGGGCTGAACCCTAATCAAGATGTCCATATCCGCTGACGAGCTCAAGGCCATTCTACTGCAGCAACAAGCACAATTTGAGGCATCCCAACTCAGGCTGATCGAAACTCTTACGCGCCAACTCGCAATCCAGACCGGTTCACTGTCTACAACCGTCAAGCCGTCCGGATCGGTAGACGCCATCACTAACAGCATTACCGAATTTTCGTACGACCCCAATGCTGGCCTAACTTTTGAATCTTGGTTCAAGCGTTATGAAGATGTGTTCCGCGTCGAACTTGGAGACCATGATGACGATTGGTAAGTCCGATTGCTGTTAAAGAAAATTGGAACAGCAGAGCACTCCAGGTATGTCAACTTTATTTTGCCTAAGAACGCTCGAGACTGCACTTTTGAGGAGACTGTCAAATGCTTGGGCCAAATATTTGGAGAGCAGTCATCCATCTTCAACATGCGGTATCAATGCCTGAAGATAACCAAGGTGGACGCTGATGACTACGTCACTTACGCTGGCATCATCAATCGCGAGTGCGAAAAAATTGGACAATCAAATCCATTACGATAGATCAGTTCAAATGCCTGATTTTTATCTGTGGCCTACATTCTCCACGGGATGCAGAGATTCGCACCAGGCTGCTGAGTAAACTTGAACAAGACCAGCAAATGACTCTACAGACCATAACCACTGAATGCCAAGGATTGCTGAACCTCAAGCATGACACGCTTATGCTGGAGAAACAACAATCAACTCTAAGTATTAATGTATTAAAAACAACCTCAAAGAAACCGCTTCCAAGTGAAACAGGCCATGAAAAGCCCAGACAGAATACCAAGCCGCCGACTGCCTGTTGGAGATGTGGTGAGTGGCATTTTGTTCGAGTGTGTCCATTCCTGCAACACGTTTGCCACAAGTGTCATAAACGGGGCCATAAGGAAACGCACTGCCGATGCAGACCGCAGTTCAAGCGTGCAAGACATACGCGAAGGCATTCAATTGTTCCCAAAAGATTCAGCAACCATAGTACAGTTCAAGCGGCCTACTCTGATGAACATGTGGCTCGCAGGAAGTACACCAGAGTTCACCTGAACGGGCAACAAGTGCATCTTCAGCTATGTACAGCCTCGGACATCACAATTATCTCCAGCAAAACTTGGCAGTATATTGGTGCTCCGTCAATCAGCCGAACGACACATGTTGCACTTAAGGCTTCAGGAGGTCAACTTAATCTCACTGGTGAGCTGCAGTGTGAAATGGTTTTTGGCGTTGCTCGGGCAAACGGTGTCGTGTACATTACGAGCCTGTCACATTTGAATCTTCTTGGACTCGACTGGATCCAGAAGCTCCACCTGTTCGACATTCCCCTGAGTCAAGTCTGCAATACCCTCCGGCTCGGATATACGAGGCCCTCTTCGGAAGGTGACGAACCAAACATCAACCTGATCGAGCAAATACGAAGGAAATTCCCGTCTGTGTTTTGTAACGACTTGGGAAGATGCACAAAAACCAAAGCAAGCCTTACTCTCAAAGACGGTGCCAAACCCGTATTCCGACCCAAAAGACCGGTACCGTACGCTGCGCTGCCGATTGTTGATGCGGAACTTAATCGTTTGGAGCGGGCCGGCGTCATCCAACCTGTGAACTATTCAGCGTGGGCAGCACCTATTGTTGTCGTCAAGAAGACCAATGGAGCCGTTCGTATCTGTGCTGACTACTCTACAGGATTGAATGCTGCTTTGAAAATGCACCAGTATCCTTTGCCAGTCCCAGAAGATTTATTTGCTAAGCTCAGTGGTGGCGCTTACTTTGCAAAGCTACATTTGTCAGATGCTTATCTTCAAATTGAAGTCGAGGATGCTTCAAAGGTGTTGCTGACAATCAATACGCACCGAGGTCTTTACCAGTTCAACCGTTTGCCGTTTGGTGTCAAATCAGCTCCCGCGATTTTCCAACAAATTATGGATACGATGTTAGCTGGGTTATCAGGGGTCGCAGCTTACTTGGACGACATCATAATCAAAGGGGCTACCTTTCGAGAGCTGACAGAAAGACTGGAAGCAGTTCTCCACCACCTTAACGACTACGGTTTCCACTTGAAAGTAGAAAAGTGCAATACCGGCATGAAGTGTGTAAAGTATCTTGGCTTCATCATCGACAAGGATGGCCGTCGTCCGGATCCTTCCAACATAAGTGCCATAAAACAGATGCCTTCCCCTGACAATGTGGCGAAGCTCAGATCATTCTTGGAGTTGATCAGTCATTACAGCTCTTTTGTGCCCGAAATGCATCGGCTATGAGGACCGCTCAATGAACTTCTGGTAAAGGATCACAAATTTGTGTGGTCTCCTGAATGTCAAGCCGCATTTGATAATGTCAAGTCTATATTGTGTTCTGACCTATTACTAACGCATTTCAATCCGGAGCTGAGGATCGTAGTTGCTGTTGATGCGTCAGACTACGGAATCGGAGAAGTCATATCCCACATTTTCCCCAATGGTTCGGAGAAAGCTGTGGCGCATGCGGCCAGATCACTCACCCCAGCGGAACGTAACTATGGACAGATCGAGAAAGAAGCTTTAGCCATAGTGTTTGCAGTCAGGCGATTTCACAAAATGCTCTACGGACGAAAATTCACGCTGTTTACTGACCACAAACCCATGGTCGCAATCTTTGGATCAAAGAAAGGCATTCCGGTCTGCAGGGCCAGTCGTCTCCAACGCTGGGCAACTGTTCTACTTGGTTATGATTTCGTCGTCAGATATCAATCTACACACAACATTGGTCAAGCAGATGCGTTATCTCGTTTAATTGGTACACAGCATCAAGAATCAGAGGATTTGGTAGTTGTTCAAATCTCCGTGGAACCCCAAGTACATCAAGTTGTGTCTGACATTTTCGGTGCCTTACCAGTCACATTCGAAATGGTGCAGGAAGCGACCCAACATGATTCTACCCTACAACAAGTGATTGATTTCCACCTCAATAACTGGCCTAAGAGAGTTACAACGCCGGAGCTTCAACAATTCCACCAACGGAAGGAAGCACTATCAGTCGTCAGAAACTGCCTGCTGTTCTCAAATCGCGTCGTCATTCCACACATCCTTCAAGAGAGAGTCCTCCGACAATTTCATACTGACCACCCGGGAATGAATCGCATGAAATCGCTGGTACGAAGCTATGTGTATTGGCCCCATATGGATTCCCAGATCGAGAGTTTAACCAAGAATTGTCTCCGATGTGCTAGTGTATCAAAACAACCAAGGAAGACGGAATTGCATTCCTGGCGAATATCAACGGAACCATGGTCAAGGGTACACATCGACTGTGCAGGTCCAATTGATGGTCACTATTTTCTCATTGTTGTCGATGCACACAGTAAATGGCCGGAGGTGATTCCAGTGGTGAGAACCACAGCAGCAGCCACTGTCTCCGCTCTCCGACAGATATTTTCTCGTTTCGGTGTTCCCCACACGTTGTTTTCGGACAATGGACCACAATTTACCTCATCTGAATTTGTCGTCTTCGGTCGCAGAAATGCGATCGTCCACGTAAGGTCTCCACCTTTCCACCCACAATCGAACGGGCAAGCGGAACGATTTGTGGATACCCTCAAAAGAGCTTTGCTAAAGATGAAGGGGGAAGGTACCTTGGAGGAGATTCTTGACACATTTCTGCTGACGTATCGCACAACTCCGAATCCGCAGACACCGAACGCTCTATCTCCGGCTGAAACTTTGTTTCAAAGGAAAATCCGTGTGCCGCATGATGCCCTCAGGCCCAGGAAGGATCAGTTGCTGTCCCGCAACTATCAGATGGAGCGACAATTCAACATCCGACACGGTGCTCGGAAGCGAAGCTTTAGTGTTGGTCAACAAGTTCTGGTGAGAGACTATCGCATCCACTATCCTAAATGGGCTATGGGCCATGTGCTATACAAACGTGGTAACGTGATCTACGGTATCCAGGTTGGGACGGCAGTTTGGGTAAGACATGCCAATCAGCTGCTAAAGGCACGGACTGGCGAACAAGTGCAACAACAAGTACCAGCAACGCAGTTACCTCTGGACATACTGGCCGACGCAGGTGAAGCGAAGACTCCCCAATATGCCCCAACACTGCAAGCAGAAAATTCACCCCGAAACCTAGCAGCACAGTGGCCGAAGCGGCGACGCAAATTCGTATCACCCATGCAAGTCAACCCCAAGCTGAAATCGCACAACACAACTCAAAGGGGGGAAGTTTTTGGGAAGGAATACATGAGTCGAACAAGCCAGGACCCCATCGCATCGGCCGGCTATCCAAACTCATCCGCACTGATTGGGGAGAACAGAGAGCCAACCAGGAGAAGCGGCCAATGAACGCTAGGTTGAAGTTCCTTTATTGGCTGTAAGTTAACCTTTCCAGAGCTTTCCACGGTCGCTTTAAATATACTATTCACGAACTTTCCATTTTACCTTTATAATGAACGGTGTGATTTGCTAATTCATTCCTGTTGCTCTGCTCGTCCGATTCGTCTTCTCTCTGTCCTGTGGGGGGGCCAGCGACTTCGGGTTTGATTGGCAATCAAGCGTCCATTCAGGCGAGGGACGAACACTTCAGATTGCCACCCGCTTCTTCTCGTCCACCATAAGATCAAGGATAGAGCACAGCAACCGCCGGAATCGAGGCGCTTAACATCGAACTGGTGCAGCACATCGCCTCCAGGCTCATCCCGAGTTTATGCGGCTTGGCGAATGAAGACCGGTGCTAGAAACTAGAACTGCACACTTTGTCCTATCGTCGGTTGCGAGTGGATCTCATCATGATCTGCCGTAAGTTACATCCCAGTGACTTCCTAACCTTGAGGCTGCTGCTTCACTTGCGAATGCTGCCAACCACACGCGGACATCGATACAAGCTTGTGGCGCGAGTTCCCAACCCTATGTACTTCGAACGATGACTGCTAAACGTTTGGAACAATTTGCCAGAACAATTCGTGGAGGTCAACTCTGTGCAGCAGTACAACACTTTGTTGAATTTACATTTCACCACCATCCGATTCAGAGAACGACTGCACATTGGCAACGACATCTTACATATGCGACCCAACTGGAACTGTTAGTCGGACACTTAAGGAATTGAAAAACGGTTAAAGTATCAACACATGGCAGATACTTTACATAACATAACTGATCATATTCCGACGAAATTTTACCTGCCCCCATAAGACAGTATCCAATAGTCCGAGGACTGACTGGCAATTGGGACCTCTATGAAACACTCGGTTCCGGCAATGAACAATGTTATGAGAGATGGTGCAGCGAAATGAGCGCACGGTCGAATAAGTGACCAGGACGATAATTCTAGGTCACACCAACGCATACTGCGGCCGAGGTGATAAGTAGACCCCTCAGGAAGATACGTATACTTGCTGACAGAGCCTTGTTAACCTATCCATGGTGGTAGCAAAGGATCGACATATGTGAATTGGGTATCCCAACGAACAGGGAGGAACGATTGGATATGCTAAACAATGTTGAAGAAAGCAAAGATAATGCTACGCGTGTCTCGCAAATATAGTATAGAACAACCAAGCACTAAAAGGGCAGTCGGAGTTGATGATAAACATTAATTGTCAAGAAGTGAGGTTAGCAAATGAATGATCCACTCTTTGTGTGAAACTCACCGATTTCCGTTCCCACTTGTCGACCCGAAACTTTGCAAGGCCGTCGATTTCCTCCATTGCGCGACATAGCTTACCCTGTGAACACGAAGAAAGTATCAAACATCAAGTATGTGTGTCATGTGTTATCAGACTATGGTAAAAGATAAAATAAAAATGGGAAATTTCTCATTCTGAGACAAATAGTAAGTTGAGCAATCGAAAATGTTGACAGTGACAGTAGGAATGTAGTTTCCGGAACATCACCCGAGCAAAGTTGCGCAAATGAGCCCCGATCTGGTGGCAAGGGAAACACTTCAGACTGCAGCAAATGGCCAGTATAGAAGAGCTTTGGGACATTTTTTGAGCAAATCAGGTCAAACCACTAATAAGCTTGTTTTGATAAAACAAATACCCCCGATCTTTTGTTGGGTTTAAGTACTATATTTTCATTTTGGCGCAGTTCTTGCAAGGCTTTCCAGTGCACATTTTTCAAAATTTTGTATTAGTTCAAATTGGTTAGATAGGTCCATCGCTGCGTCGTGTGTGGCCGGGGTCAAAGTTGACATCTGTTCATACAGGTGTTCATGCTGTGTCTCAATACCTATTCTGTCGCATCTCCTAGATGGAACTGAGAGATTGAACCCCAGCAATAGAGGTTCACACTGAGGGTGACTTATTGCAATGGGCAGTGTCGCACAAACGTAGGAGTCGTTTAACAAGGGCAATGAGCTCAAATACTCCATCGAAGAGAGTTTACAAAAAAGTAATCATTGTGTAGCAACAACAAATATACCAGTGGAAATTTCATCATAATCAATATCACAGAGTAGCAAAAGGTGAGAAACATCTCAGCTACGGTGTCACAATTAAAACAGATATAATAAAAGTGAGGTACCTTAGAAATTACGGACCCAAAAATAAGATAATGATTAGTACCATATTATTCATCGAGCGTGAGATGATGGTGAGAGGGGGACAAGGATACTCACAATATGAATGTCATTCGAGATCGGCTCATCGTCAAGTGAACAAGTGTGTCCAACCAAACGTGGTCATCATTCTTCGGACCCCAGGCGGTCAGGATGCATCAAACGATGTTAACTTCGAAGTGAATGTCTTCATTCCTCTTGACCAAGTTATCACTTGACCTCCTCTCCTCTTTGTGTATCCACACCCCCGTAACGAAAACACCGCACGACGCGGGAGTCGGTGTGCTGGCACGCGCAACACGTGACCCACCCATTGGAGCCTAGTGCGTGATATGACGGTGCTCAGCGGTTCACGCGCTCTTACTAAACCAAATAAGAGAGGCGTAACAATCTCATTACTCACACGGAATTCCCATCAGACATGAGCTAAGCTGTGAAAGCGGCGACGATCGAACGCGACTAGCTTGTTTATGTCTCTGAGGAGTTAGGTTCCGCAACTGTCGAAGAAGGGTTAAACGCATGGTTGCGTTGTGGGCTCTGCGCCTCAGGTCGAGGGTGACGTCACCTTAGTGCCACACGTGGCGGAGAATTGCAAAAGCGCCTCGTGCTTTGGTTATAAGGTTTTATTCCACAAGCGCTAACATAGGTGCCCAGCTGCATAGATTTCTGGGTGGCTTATAGCTGAGGCTGGAAAGCAATACAGTAGGATGTAGTCTTAACGTATGGCATACACGAGGTAAATTCGCAGGAACTCCACAAACTGGTGCACAGATTACACGGAGCGGACAGAAGATTTAAAAACAAGAGATCGATAGTTGATAGTCCAGTCAGCTGACTGAATGGGAGCGTGATGACCCTTATAGAGATCAGCTAAGTGGAGTACAACTGACCCAAACGAAATGACGCAGAATGAGAAGATACCCAATTGAAAGAACCAGGAACATGAAGGAACTGAGTTATGTCAAGCGTATTGAGCTTTTGGCTGCATATATCGAATGACCTGCATGACCATGAATTACTAGTGAAAGTGTGGGAGCAGGAAACTGTCCCAACCGACTGGAGCCGCTCCGTTATTGTTCCCATTTTCAAAGGAGGCTCACGATCGGAATGCGGCAACCATAGAGGAATCAGCCTGATCTCCATCACCTCCAGATTGCTTGCCTCTATCATCCTTCCCAGATTGACTGTTACTCATAAAAGCCATATTCGTGAAGAGCAAGCCGGGTTTCGTCGAGGTGGTGGCTGCATCGACCACATCTTCACTTTGCGTCAGTTGTTGGAGCACCATCACGCATACTGGCGGCCCACTGTAGTCGTGTTCCTCGATATGAAAGGTGCATTCGATTCGGTGGATAGACGTGCCATTTTGGACCGTATGCTAAGGAATGGTGTGCCCGATTAATATGGGAATATTATCCGATCATTATATGCGCGTAGCTCAGGCAGAGTGAAGGCTTACGGCAAGCTGTCGTTGCCCTTTAGTATCTCCAGCAGTGTGAGACAAGCAAGCCAGCTGTCACCTTCCCTCTTCAACTTCGCTATTGATGAAGTCATGGAGATTGGATTTACAGGACATGACTTGGAAGGTGTGGAGCTACTCCCAGAAGAACGACTTCTTGACTTGGAGTATGCAGATGACATTGCCCTCATCTGTGACAGCTCCCAGGCGTGCCAAACAGCGCTGGACAGGACATATATATATATATATATATATATATATATATATATATATATATATATATATATATATATATATAATACACAATCTGCGGTACAGATATTGTGCCATCGGAATCATGACTGAATAGGAAAACAATATGAATAATAAGAAAAGAGCAACAACAAACGCTTTTTTGTCAAGTTTACCACTCACAGTTTTTGACATTTTTCCATTTTGTTCTTTTTTTAGGGAGAGGAAGAAGGGACACCGCAACAAACCGATGCACACGCCCGTCATTGACATAGATCTTGAGCCATAACTTCCAAGGTATTCAACTAGCAAGTATCCGCATCTCTCGGACCCCAACCAGGTAGTCGACAACAACCGGCTGAGGCCAACTGTTTCGTCAACTTTTTCATGCGGCTTCTCCATGTTGTAGGCTGTCCACCAGACCGTCTCTTCTAGCCCTGTCTAGCAAGTGCAAACAACGCACGACGGGGGTAACGCTGGACAGGCATGCGCAATACGTGTCCCAACCACCGCAGTTGATGCAGTGAGATGAGCTCCTCGAGCGAGTGGCTTCCACGTCCCAAGACACGCTGTCTAACTTCCACATTGCTTACGTGGTGCTGCCACCACACACGGGCAATGGACAGATTAGCACTGGCTGTCAGCCGCTTCGGACTTTGCTTTGCACCATCGAAATGCAAAGTGTTCCTCCAAGATTGGCAGGGATCGCCTCCTGCGCTGACCCTTGGTGGCGATCAGCTAGAAGTCGTCCGGAAATTCAACCACCTGGGAAGTTGTATTAGCGCCCTTGGGATCGAAGACGAGACAACGAACCGTATAGCAAAAGCTCGAAGTGCTATTGCTAGTCTTCGCCGCCTATGGCGGCGGCGAAACATCACTCTTGCGCAGAAGTGTAGAATGTACAATGCAGAGGTACGTTCGACCTTACTGTACGGTTGTGAAACCTGGCCCGTAAGATCGGCGGACATAAAGAGGCTAGTTACGTTCGACCATAGGTGCCTTCGCAGTTTGGCTCACATCTGGTGGACACCGTGTGAGTAACGAGCGTATTCGCCGCCTTGTTTATGGCACAGAAAAAAGAACTGAACCGCTCAGCATCGTTATTTCACGCACCAGACTCCGATGGCTCGGCCACGTGTTGCGCATGCCAGCCCACCGATTTCCACGACATGCGTTGTTTGCTCACCGGGGATGTGGATGGAAGAAGAGGAGAGGTGGCCAAGCGATGACTTGGTCCAGAGGAATGAAGGCCGTCACTTCGGAGCTGGCCTCAGTTGGAGTGTCACGGCTCCCTGGTTGAGGTCCAAAAGACGAGGAACACGTTTCGCTGGATACGCTTGCTGACATCGCAAGGAACCGACCTCAGTGGCGTTCCTGATGTGAGTTTATTTGTCCCACCTCATCCGTCTTAGCCTCCCCCTCCATCTGCGATCTCATTTCGCAGCGTAAAACATAATAATTTTTCTTTCTGACTAGCAGCCGGCTGGTAGCCTAACGGAACGATGCCTATCCGTTGCTGGCAGCTCAACTGGCATGCAAGTTTTCCTTTATGTATTGCGGCACAGTAGCTGAGTTGTTTCCCACATCGAACTGACGTGTATAATGATGATGACAACATTTAAAACAAGCAATAAAAATCCAGTGACCTATCAGATATCTTTCCGACTATAAGCGGCATCCGTCAGGGTTGTCCGATTTTCCTATTTTTGTTCAATTTCGTTGTGGATTCTATCATGGAATGTTCCCTTGCGGAATTTCCCGATGTGGGCGTTGAAGTTCTGCCTGGTGAAAGATTCGTTAATCTAGATTATGCGGACGATATCGTCTTGCTTTTCGACGATGTTGCCGCGGCACAATCAACCCTGAATAGCCTGTCCAGAGTGGTCCCATTATTTGGTATGCACTTCGCACCTTCAAAGTGCAAAGTGTTGCTGCAGGATCACCAGCCACTTGATGACCACTTGACCCTTGCTAACAGGGAACTCGAGGTAGCAGCTGCATCAGCAACGATGGACGCATAGAAACTGACGTCAGCACACGCATTGCAAAAGCCAGAGCTACCTTCTTGAACCTGCGGCATCTTTGGCGACAGAAGGGAGTTTCCCTCCGTCTGAAAGGTTATGTATACAAGGCCACAGTGAGGACCGTTCTGTTCTATGGTAGTCAGACTTGACCCCATCGGTCTGAAGATCTGAGGCGCCTTCAAGTCTTTGATCATAGTTGTCTGCGAAGCATTGCTGGTGTCGGATGGCACCAGCGTGTCCGCAACGATGATGTGCGTTGGTGAGTACTAGTTAGTGACAATCATGCTAACTCCCTAGAACAACAGATAGCACAGAATAAGTTGCGTTGGCTCGGACAGGTCCTACGTATGCTTGGTCACCGCTTACCTAGGAGGGTCGTATTTAATCTGTCAGATGTAGGGTGGCGCACAACTCGTGACGGACAGAGGTTGGCTTGGCAGCGGGAAATAAAGTCACTGACGACCAAATTGGGTGCCGTTGGTCCGTCTCGCCTTCCGGGCTGGAGTTCACGTGACTCGTCTTGTACTTGACTCGAGACTTTACAGCACATGGATCGCAACCGACACCAGTAGCGCGTCTGCTGCCGTCTCCTAATTGGATTGCCTGTTTTGGTGCTGAGTTATCTGCAGGGTAATGACTGATTATGACACGGGGCAGTGAAAGTCGAAAGGAAGCTGTCGCGCTGATGCCGCCTTATCTTTGCGAAGAGGAGAGTTGGCCAAGCGATGACTTGGTCGAGAGGAATGAGGGCCTTCACTTCGGAGCTGGCCTCAGTTGGAGCGTCTTGGCTCCCTGGTGGTGGTCCGAAAGGCGATGAACACGTTTAGTTGGATACACTTGCTGATATGGCTAGGAGCCGAACGCAGTGGCGCTTGTGTTGTGAGTTGCTTTGTCCCTCCCATTCAACTTAGCCTCCCTCTCCAATCACGATCTCATTTCTTAGCATAATTCAACCTTACGTAATAAATTGTTTGTTTGTACAGTAGCGGGCTGGTAGCTTTCCGGGACGATTCCCATCCGTTACTGGTAGCTCTACCGGCATGCATCTGTAGCATGTGTTTTCGCTTTCATGTAGCGCGGCACAGTAGCCGAGGTGTTTTCCAACTCTAGCTAACGTGCATAATGATGGTGATGATGACGCCTTAGCTTTGCACGACAGCCAGCTGTTTCTGACCGTATGTGGTTGACAAAGTGTAGTCGCTTTGGCTCAGAATGTTTGTTAAGGGCATTAACGTATTGTGCTAGGTACCGTTCCCTCCCTGTTATTATTCTTCGATCTACACATAGGTCGCCATGGCTGTATGGCAGCGCAGCATCAGCTAAAATGGCTGATGTTCTGATGTTGGCGTGTGTCCTGTTTGCGTTCCCCAGCATTTCTTCCATCCACACCCCCGGCGCGAAAACAATGCACGTCGCAGGAGTCGGTGTGCTGATAGCCGCAACACGTGGCCCAGTCACCGGAGTCTGGTGCGTGAAATAACGGTGCTGAGCAGCTCGTTCACCCTTCCTGCACCAAATACACGACGCCGAAAACGCTCGTTGTTCACGCGGCGCCCCGAACAGACATGAGCTAAGCTGTGAAGCAGCGATGGGCGAATGTAACTAGCCACTTTATGGTCGTCGGTTTGAGGGACCAGTTTTCGCAATCTTACAGTAGGGTCGAATGAACGTCTGCATTGTAATCTCTGTCCCTCAGCGTGAGAGTGACGTCACATGGGCGCCACAGGTGGCATATATTGGCAAAAGCGCCTCGAGGTTCTGTTATGTGATTTGTGATCTCATTTGCAATTCTACTGGCGCTAATATAGCTGCCAAGAGACTTGAACTTCTCGACGACTTCTAGTTGCTCATCACCAAGCGTCAGCGCAGCGGTAAGTAACTGCCAATCGTGGAGGACTTTGCATTTCGACGGCTCAAAGCATAGCCCGAAACGAATGAGGACCAAGGCTAGGTTCTCCAGTGCTACTTGGCACGTTTGGAAGCTGCCACAGGAAAATGTCGTCGCTGTACTCCAAATCAAAAGTCCATCACCTGGGAGAATCTTCACGTCCTGCAAGTCGTGTCCAGAGAACG